CAACTGGTATTTTTTTCGCTATGACACCCGGATGTAAAGTTGTATTTTTTGTGCTGAAATTGTGGCAAGATGACACCGGTCATTTCAAAGTCTATAAATGAATGGACTGAGTTTTGGAACTTCTTAGATTACGAATTAATAAAATAGCAAAAATTATCATAAAAAAAATGTATTTTGAAATCAAATTTGTTTCTCGCAGTTTTCTCTTTGTTGCCTAGGGACTCAATAAATTGCGGAGACGCCAGATGCGCAATAGTCGAAAACAATAACAACAGCACCTATTGAAAGGTCTCAAATATTTAAGAATGACAATGTAAGTTTAGTAAAAATCACATAAATATATATTATTTAATATAAATGACATACAAATGACGAAGAAATATAATGTTCATTACAGGTGAGTTTTGCATCATCGGACTGATTGCAATTTCTTCACGGGACAAGCATAAAAGCGCAGAATGAGCTTAATGGAATCAGTAACGTGGTATGTTATGTTAAGTCTCATTTCATTGCTCAAATATTTCACGGTCTTCTAATTTATCATTTGTTTGAGAATATAATAACTCCAGATTCCTTCCCTATCATTATCTGCCCGAAATTCTCATTTTTGATATCTTTTTGATAGCCCAAGCAGCTGCGTCGTGATTTTGAAAGTAACAATATTCTGGTTTTAATTTTAGGACAACAAATACGCTGGCCTACCAACTATGGCAGCTGAAAAGACTCATTCACTCGAGATATTTAAAATTAATCCGTCATATCAACCATGCATTGAAATAGCCTTCCTATTGAAATCAAACTTTGCCCAATGTCTTTTGTTTTCAGAACCTTCCTGGTACAGTTGTAGACGAAAAAGAATTAGTTGTTTCAAAGGTCATGGTAGGTAGTCGTATTTTTATTGATTTAAGTATTGAATATTTAAACGTTTTGCGATCTTTATTATTTTTTTATGAGTGAGTATTTACAGGATTCATATTCCATAGTACAAGAGTTACCCTTGTTTTAAAGGGGAAAGCAAAGCTCCGAAGGCCATTGACCGCAACCATCAAACGGAAGAAGCCTGCAACTGGACATTTTCCACCTGTTTCTTTCTGGACACCCATTAACATTAAACAAGGCGCTATTTTTCAAAATAAACCGGAATCTTCCTGATTTGAGAGAACACATCCAATTGTGTATTTAATCAAGAAGAAGGGTAAATAGAAATTACTTACAGTGCTGAATTTGAAGTTTTTGTATACAACTATTGCCCTTAAAACTATTACTCGAAAGATTATAGATGGGAGAGTTTCAAGCTAGCAAAAGAGGGAAAATGAAAGTAATAGGCAGATGTATCAATCAAATGGACTAAGTTCATCCACAATTCGTCGACGAAACAATTTTCGGATTGTCAAATTTCAGCCATGAATTATATATATGTATTATAACATGCGTTTAGGTAAAATATGTGCATTCTTTAAATTCAGGTTATACGCTAAAACTGTTGAAACTGCCGCCCATTGGAAGTAACATGAACCTTCAGGTGCGTTTAAAACCGCTCCGTCAAAACGAAAACAAAATGCAAGCTTATCACCAGAGGTGTTTTGGACTCCTTTGACATAAAGCGCAGAGACGTGCATAGAATTAATCGCAATCTACCCAGTTTTCAAGATTATGCTCAGGTTCGTCCGAAGTCTCAAAGAAAAAGGTTTGCAAGTGTTCTCAGTTATAGTTTGTTGCTCTGGATTCTTGTAAGAGAAGCCTAGTAAAATTTGACAAATACTTGCAGTTAATGTTTTAGAGAAAATCAAGAAAGACGAAAAACTGCATTTCGTTTTGATTCCAGAGCAAAAGGTTAGTGAGGCTCGATGGCAATGGCAAACGTAATTGACGAAGTTGTGAGACGTGAGTTCGATGAGTGTTACCATATTTTTGCTGTATTTATTAGAAGTTTTAGAAAATCAATCAATATTCATAAAACAGATAAAAATGAGGTCCGAAGCGTCATGGAGATGGTGATGGAGGAAATTTTTCAGGATGGTGACATCCGTGATATTTTGGAAAGTCCTATATATATCTAGGTGAGTATTTGAAAGAGAAATTAACGACTCGTTTCTGATTTAATTAATTCTACTTATTCTTTTCTAATTTTCAGATACCGATAGCACAGATTTTATTCTTTGGCTATGGAAACCACATTTGTTTTTATTATTTGTGTTTTATTTTTGAATGAAATAAATAAACACTAGAAAATTATTTGTTAAAGCATTGAAAAACTTAGTGATAATAGGATAATTACGGGAAGAGCAATAAAACGGCAAAGACCATAGCACTGAGATTCAACAACTATAAGCCCCATCACCAAAATTGAAGAAACTGTTTTGAGTCTGTAAAAAATTGCTTTTTTTTCCAGCTTCGCTACAGCAGGAAATAAATAACAAATATATACAAACAAAAATATTTTAAACAGTGCAGACCAGTGGTTGTCAAAGTTTCTCAAAGCCGCGCCCCAAATGTAGAGATTGTCAAGTCTCGCGCCCCACATCAAAAATAACTAGCTAACAATAAGCTACAAATAACAGGTAGTAAAACATGTTGAAAATACGTGGATGGAAAGTAAATAATAAAATAAATGAAAAATTTTAAAATGTAAATATCTAAAATCTAATCAATCTAAGATCAAATCTAACAAATATTTTTATTTTAATTAGCTTCATGCAACCTTAAAAAATTGTCTACGCCCTCTTGTGGGGCGCGCCTCACCGTTAGAGAACCACTGCTGTAGAATATCGTACGATACTTAGTACGGTTCACTGATGACGTAGTACAAAGAATTCGTCGACGTGATTTTGCATTAAGTTAAAGGTAATTATGGCGTTCTGTGTTCTAATTTTAAACCGTATGCTAGTTCTGTTGGGCGTTGCATTTAGCAAACGATGCAGTGGCAAAACAACAATACATGGGACAGTTTATTAAATCAATGTTTTTTATTTATTTTCAATCATTTTTGGTTTATGACATTTCACCAGTCGATTACAAGTTTTCATCATATGTAACTCATTCATGACTTTAATTGGACGGCTTTGTCATTGCAGGCATTCACTTCAAAAAAGCCTATGTGTGAGCATCCACCAATATGCAAGGGTCAACTTCATTTCAGGATGAAGCCAACTGGCGGAAACTAAATTGCCTAATGTTAAACGAGTCCATGGACGTCCATTTTGTGCCTACACGGAACAATGAGGTCTTGTGGGAATTTGCCGTGTTGTTCTACCGAATCGAATGAGTCTGCTGTTATAGGAGCTAGAATGAAGCCGGGTATGGATTTCGAACGTGAAGCTAAAAGATATTTAAATATACAACAAACTATATTTTGCGTTAAATTTGGCCATAAGCATAAACACAACGTTGCACAATGTTTCATTAATTTTCAAGGACTTTATAGCGATACATCGATTTGACACTGTACAATGCCGACACAACAATCGAAAACTGTCATTCGGTCTTCTTGCACTTTTAGCTGAGCAATTGGGCATAATGTAGGGTGATCCTATTTCTAAACCATAAAATGAGGACACATCGTTTGGTATAACTACGATGTGACGACAATGGAATAATGCATTTTTTAGTTTATTATAAAAAATATTTACAGAAAAATCAATTTATTTGTCCTCAGAACATATTTGGCAGTTCATTTAATCTTCGTCAATGTTGCCGGGTTATGTTTTGCAATATCGTGAAACTGGCTGAAAGAAATGTAGTTAAAATTGTTAACTGAAGTGAGCATACTACTGAAGTAATATTGTGAGGTCTTTATCAGTTCGCTGTAAAAGTTGCTGGGGCTGCAGCTTTTAAAATATACTGTCCATCTTTCATGTGCCTTGAGTTTACAGTAGAAGACTGAATCGGATTGAAGTTGCTTTTCTACAAACTTGCATAAGTTCTGGAATTAGTCGAACAACTTGGGTTCATCACTCAAACATTTTTCTCAAGCAAGTACTCAACACACGGTTCAACATTTCTCGACTCGTGGTTTTGGATCAGATGCATCAAGTCTGAGCATATGAATTAATCAAACGAAGCTGTCCATTTTTCGAGGTATTTTACGCAAGACTTGTACGAAAAAGCCACATTCTAGAATCTAGAGTAACATATCACATTCACGGCCATTGCACTTGTCTCTAAATCTGCGCAAATCAGATTTAAATGTGGGTTTGTATGAACATGCGTTTCTTTCTTCAATCGTAAATTTAACAGCATTAAGACAAGTTTTGCTTTCAATAATGCCTTTTGAATGTTCAATATGCTTATTTGGTTCATTAAACACAGCAACAAAAGATTACAAATGTTCATTCATAAGATTTTCATAAACATTTTTAAGAACTTTGTGTTTGATAAGAACATTACATGCAACGGTGTCGTCCATTTACAGAGTAGGGACCCATTTTATCCATTCACCTCTTACTCTCAGGTGGTAACAGTAGAGATACTCATCGGCCAATGGTACTTTGAAGTCAGGCACAACGTCTGACACTCACACTTCCAGGCAAAAATAATTCAATTTTTGGAAGCCTCGAACACGCAATAAAAAGACTTTTTAGATTCGATTTGAACAAGACATCGCTTAAATATAAAGGTTTTTTTAGATTCGATTTGAACAAGACATCGCTTAAATATAAAGGTTTTCTGATAATGAATAATGATATATAATAAATAATAATATTCATACGCGAAGCGTACCAACGGGTCGTTATGCAAGTTTTCTGTTGTTGTTCATCTTGGGGTTGTTGTGAAAATCGCCTTCCTCTGCAACAAAAAGACCAACTTCTTCCTAGTTTTCAGCACTTAGAGATGGAAGAAGTCGTAAGTAAGCTATTTTTAATATTAACCTTCCATTTTTTTAAAAATTCTTTCCAAAGCCTAGTTTCTAGAGTCCGAATGGATTTTAAAATTCAAGGAAACATCTCAGAGCTTTCTAATACCACAGTGCATTTGTAATACAGACAACCATGTAATGAAGGAAATTTGACTTTATTAACATAAACTTACGCATGGAAAGGTTTTACAGCACGCGTACATTTTAATGAATATTCAAATGTATATAATTGCTTATCCAACTCTAGTAGAATTTTATAGACTTATATTACGCCATAGTGTAAGCCTACTGTTTGCCCTGTATTCATTGATAAAAATCTTTTTCGCAGCATAGTTATTTTGTTTTATAGTGTTTGTTTTTAAATGCTATAATTTTCCTGTTTTTGTTTTTAGAATCAGGAAAATTGCCCAATTATTGAATAAATTTTAATATCTTTGTAGTTGGCTTTATGATCAATTTACCGCGAACACAGCAAGTATGCTATAATAGTAAAACTAATAATGCTGATGGTAAAACCTATTGGATAACAATTTTAGCGGTAGATCGCATGATCCGAATTAAAATGTGAAAATTTAATATTCAAGTTTTTCTTAGCATCATCACCGACGTCTTCATTGTTTGGCCGGATCTCCATCGATACCACATGATTCCAGCTCCTGCGGCCTTGGTTGATCGCATGGTTCTAAGATATTCTCCATTCAAATGTGAATTCTCGCAAGCAAAAAACCACCATCCACCTCTTAAATAATTTGCACAATGATCACCCCAAGTATCCAAATCTTTGTCAGGAGCCGAAAATTGCATGTTGTTATGACCGTTCAGAGCATCGCCTGCCGTCCCCGAATATCCAGAAACAGTCAGTCTATAATTATCTTCTCTTCCACTTATTTTGAAAGTACTAGACAAGAAATAAGATTATAGTATTAATTGTGATATTGACTTCGGTGTTCAGTTCATTTCAATCCTAAAGCAGTATTTTTCAAATTATTTTGAATTTGTTTTATTTTTTTTTTGAATAATTTCGTGTGTACTTTTTGAATAGTAATAAAAATCAGATAAAAAAAAATGATTGCATACTGCATATTATATACAAACCTATATTTTGCATAAGCGACATTATTATTCCAGTCGGACAAATCAACCCTTAGTTCATAAGTTCCATCCTTGGTCAATTGATGAATCGTTTCAAGACCTGGATGAAAAAATAATTTGGATAACATAACCTCGTGTATTTCGTGTTATTACGTTTAATTGACTTACAATAAATTGATTGCCATTCAAGGTGACAGGTAAAATATCTCGGTTTCAATCTCAACTCGTAGCAATGCGATGCCTGCCTAAACCATTATCGGTATGATATTCTACTATTTATTTGGGAAAGGTTAACCTCACTAAACAATATGCAATAACAACCAGAAAATGTACATTTATATATGTTATTACCGAGCCAAAATTCTCCTGTTTCACGTCCGAATCCTTCAGCATATTCTTCCCACCCACGATCAAAACTTTCTGTGCCATCTACTCGACGTTGAAACACCTGGTAAATTGCATATAGTTAAAAGGATGATTTTATGAATTTATCGAACCATTTCTTCCCATTAGCTTTTTAAATTACTGTCGCAAAAGGGTGAATATTAAACTTCAACCATTCTTAGCTTAGCTAACTATCGCAAAAAAGTGATTATTCTACAAAACTAAAGAAAGAAGAAATATATCACCGTCCATTTTCCTCCATCTGTTGTAAGATCGCAATAAACTTCATATTTATTATTGTTGCGATAAATATCAAAAACTCCTCCACGGCCATCCCACAATTTTGCATCATCTTGCGACACCTTTTCACATCCCGACATTCTCCGTTGCCGTTCTTAAGCCAAAGAGACATCGGGAAAGATGTTTCGATATTTAAACGAGTAAAATAAGTTCCATAATATCTATTTCAATTTAAAATGGCAGCTGGGAAATGACAAATAACACTACGGGACATTTTGTCAGAAAACAGTGCTGCCTCATAACTACATATTGTGTGTTCTTTCGCCTGTTTGAATCTCATGTGCAAAAATAATTGTAAATTGCTTTCATGTCATAATGGCCAGTTTTAGCATCATATTATTATATCCTGTCTGTAATATTTTGCACAAAACAATACACGTCTTGCAAGTAGAAAATTAATCAAAATCCCAAGAAATTAAATCAATAAAAATAGCTCGAACGGAATTGTTGAAACTAGTTAAGTAAAACATACAATACCTTTTGTTATTTCATCTGTAACATTTTTTATCTCGTCACATCTTTCTTCGTTTTCCATTTTTTCTTCTTCAAGTAACCGCTCCAATCTTTCAAGCTTCACGTTAATCCGATTTTCAGTTTCTAGAAAAAGATATCAATAATAAAACAGACCGGAAAAGTTTTCAATTTAGATTACACCGATAAACTAGAATGATGTTATACTATAATATGAGATATATATTTCCCATGTTTATAAATCGATAGTATGTAAGGAATTACATTTTCAGTCACCATACCTAAAGGAAGAGTTGATTTGGTTTTAAACTGTATGGCGTTTTAGGCAACAATTTATGGCAACTCATAAAATAAAAACTCATAGTTTATGTGTTTTCAATTCGATTCGACGAAATATAGTTTTGTCGGAATGTTAAGCAATAATGAGTAGGATTAGTCTGCCAGCCTTAACTTCTATTCGCATGGCTCAATAAATATATTTGTGTGATTTTAAAAAGGGCGAGGCTTTAATCAATGAAACTGTAAGAAACGTTGATTTGTAGCAAAGTTTCAATGAGACTACGGAGAGAATGCAAAATTAGATTCATAACACAGACATATACGTGCCTTCTATTTTCTTTTCGATGCTCTCTTCTATAGCAGTGTAGTTTACGGTACCAGGATCTCCAGTACTTCCCTTTTCACCCTTTGGGCCGGCTTTTCCAATTCTAGGCTGCTGCATGGCATCATCAGATTGTCCAAAAGCTTGTGACCCTGTTATTTGATTCATGCAGAACCGATTCATCGCGTAAATTTGAGAACAAAATCCATAAACAGAACCGGGATCTTGGCAATATGCGACGCCTAGCAAACCAAATAATATTAGGAATTTTAAGAAATACATTATATCTGATTTAAAGTCCTTATATAATAAAAAAAATTGACTATGATTAGATACAAAAAAGTGAAAAATAGTAACTAATTTATGGTATACTGCGTTATGGTTCCCATTGTTTCGTGCGTGAATGACTATGGGTTTTCTGCCTCCCTCTCCTTCTGTTAATGCTTACGTCGACGACTGTATGCTTTCTGTAATACATTTTCATTATCTATAAATATCGTCTATTCTCCTAGTTCACAATACACCAGGATCTACTTTTTTATGATTCTAATTCAATATAGAGAGTGTTTTCTCAAAGAAATTGTGCAATACCGTTTTGGAGCGCTAATTTCTTAGCACTATCTCTTTCAGCGTTTGTCGCTTGAAGGTGTGACGTCCCAACTTGCATCTCCACAATCGGTGGGCTCAGGGTCTTTATTGAGGCGTAGTTTATATTTATATGCAATAATTATGTGTCCCCCTTGTTTCATATTTAGTTAATATTGGTTCATTCTGCGATGTTGCACTATATTTTACCGTATTTCTATTTGACTGCTATTCTATAATATCAACTTTTTCCATTCTAAATTATTCTCTCATTATCAACTCAACAATAAAGAACTTTCAAGAACTCAGTTTAAAGTGTGGTAAGTGAGTTATACGATAGAACCGCAACAAAAATTCAGTACTTTTCCAAACAGACATTTCAATTTCTGGCGACCCCTAGTTCGAAGTGCAAGCAACTCCCAAGCTTACAACTCTGTTCTACTCTCACACAAATTATTATATATATGTTTATGTGCTTGCGTTACTTACTGTCTTAATTAAGCAATTCAAATGAAAAAACCTCCGTATGTTTAGATTTCAAAAATATAAAAAAAAAAAAAATCAGTTACGAATTTGTTTTTTGCTCAGTTTTTCCGAGCTCTATCGATTCTTGGAAATCTTGACATTGACGGCATGCAGGCCTATTCACATTTTCGATATTTCCGAAAACAAAGTCGAGGACTATTCGAGTGACGCAGACAGACTACGTGGAGTCAGAAAATTTCATAAACAATGAAAACTAATTGGTGTGGGAAAGGAAATGAGTATTGGTTGGAATACCCCATTCCACACCAACTGATTTTTAGGTTTGTACAAATAAGAATTGTATGCGAAAAAATGTTTGCGACAGTACGGCATGGTTCGTTTCAAACTGTTCACTGATAATTATACTAGATTTTGTTTTCTGGCACAAGGGAAATGTTAATACCCGTCTATTCTTCTTCCCGGTCTGACATTATACTATTGGGCTTTTTTCTTCCCTGTGTTCACCACATTACTTAGAATTATCGCGGAAATTTTTTTGTTGCGAATTTGATTTTATATGATTTTTTGCTTTCGAAACACAATTAAACCTGCATAATAACATACGATATTTTATTACAATTCACTGATGACGTAGTACAAAGAATTCGTCGACGCAATTTTGCACTGGGTTAAAGGTAATTATTGCGTTCTGTATTCTAATTTTAAACCGCATGCTAGTTCTATTGATTGTTGCATTTAGCAAACGCTGCAGTGGCAAAGCAGCATTACCTGACGCAGGTTATCAAATCAAGTTTTTATTTATATTAATCATTTTTTGATTTATGACATTTCACCAGACGATTACAAGATTTCATCATATGTAATTCATTCATGTCAATAAATGTTTGCTCACGAATCTCCATTAATTGATGCCTCCTCCCTCCTCGTGGTATATTTATTGCCCTGACTCTAATTAGGCGACTTAGTCATACCAGACATTCACTCCAAACAAGCCTATGTGTGAGAATCCACCAATATGCGAGGGCCAACTTTATTTCTGGATGGAGCCTAACTTGCCTGATGTTCAACGTCCATTTCGTGCCTACGTGGAACAATTGGGTTTTATTTCCGAAAACAAAGTCGACTAAAACGACTACTATTCGAGTGACGCAGACAGACTACGTGGAGTCAAAAAAATTCTTAAACAATGAAAAATTATTTGTGTGGGAAAGGAAATGAGTATTGGTTGGAATACCCCTTCAACTGACTTTTTAGGTCCGTAGAAATAAGAATGATATGCGAAAATTTAGTTTTCTGGCACAAGACAAATGTTAATACTCGCCTATTCTCATAGATAGTAGCCTAGTTTGACGTTATACTGCTGGTTTTATTCCTTTCCTGCGTTTGCCTCCATAACTCAAAGGTTTTTGTTGCTGATTTGATTTTAAATAATTGGGGGGCATCAGAGATCGAGTCTATCTTGATCTCGATTCGTCAAGTTTACTGTAATTACTGATAATGCAACGATATTATTTGAAAATATTGGTATGTATTTAAACCACCACAACGTTTGCCGCTTTAATAGAATTGCCTTTGACTTAATGCAAAATACGCGAACGAGTTCTCAGTTCGAGGCCATCAACGGGACATACTAATTTGCGTTCGATTTCGGCAGGGTTGACTTTTAAAAATTTCTGTCTCGCAAACGAAGCCCACTTTCTGCATGCGGTAAACGCCAAAATTATATAGAAATCAAATTTACCACAAAAATGTTCGCGTGATAACCCAACTTTAAAGAAGACCTCTAATTTGCAGCAACCATTTGAGTCTTAAAAGGATGTCTAAAATAATGTTTCCCCACGAATCTCTATTAGTTTATCACTGGCCTTTAAAGGTTGGCATTGTCATTCCAGGCATTTCACACCACTTAGGCTTTTGAATGGGTATATACACCGATAAGCTGAGGCCAATTTTATTTCTGAATGAGCTCAAACGTATCTCTTATCTTTAATTTTATTCAGCTTTTTATCTTTTTTTTCGCCTTTTATCCGTTTGTGAAGCAGCCCTGTGGTGTGGCAAGATAGTGATAGTGGCAATTAACCATGTCATATATTCAATACGATGACCGTACATTTGAACCCATGTGTATATCCGCTCGTTCAATCTATATGCGGGTGCTAAAACCCATGGGTTAGGGTTAGTATGGGTTCAAATATCCGTAAAACAAAAAAATTCTCATAGGTGCATTAGTATGCAGGTGCAATTGTTGTGGGTTCAAATGTACGTGGGTTCAAATGTAATGGAACTATTCAAAACTCCTTATATTGTATGCTAGACTAAAGCGATTAACATTCGTTTTACTGACTTTTAAACGACGCCGTTGCGTTTAACGAACGTATCAAAAGCATGATATTAAGTTGTTTGCAATCATCTTTATGTTCCGAATATTTACAAAGCTCATTGAAGCATAACAAATTCTGTGTAATATGTTTGCCGTTTTAGTTGCGATTGCCACTGTTATAGCAAGTTGAACGTCATTATGATAAGGCTTTTCGAGAAAGAGAATCACGTCAAAACATATGCCGTTTATAGACCTGATTATCCCATTTCAGTCGCAGAAGAAATCATTAGTTATGTAAGCAGGAAAAGCGGGTTACAAAAAGGTGATAATATACCGGTAATGGTCGACATTGGATGTGGCACCGGGCAATCAACTAAACTTTTTCAACCTTACGTATCAAAAATTATAGGTATCGATCCAAGTGAAAATCAAATCGAGCAAGCAAAGATATGCAACTTTGCAGCAAACGTTACGTACATGGTGGGAAAAGCTGAAAGCATTCCTGTTGAAGACGAATCCGTGGACATTGTTTGTGCTGGAACTTCAATACACTGGGTTGATTTTGAATGTTTTTTCAAGGAATGCAGCAGAGTGCTGAAGCCCAGTGGTAGCATAGCTCTCTACGCGTGTGGGAAACCAAATATCACCCAGTTGGATAGGAGTCCGGATCCAAGTGCTGCTTCAATTTTGTTCAATCTCCATTCCAAATGTATCTGGCATGAACGAACCAGTCATGTGGGCGACAAGTACAGTAGAATATTTGACATGATATCTGCTGAGGATAAAACTAGGTCTGATTGTCACAAAATCGAAAAAGAGTTAAGTCTGGAGGAATTTTCAAAATATGTTTCGACGTGGTCAAGCTATCACACGTTTTTGAAAAATAAAAATGATACTCAGTCTGATATTTTAAAGGATTTCGGCAATGATTTGAAAAAACTTTGGCATGTGGAGCAATTACGTGATGATGAAGTGAAATTATTCGTCTCGTGGGATGTGTTCATACTTCTTTCAGGAAGACCTTAGAAGTGAACTTTTCATTCCTAAATATCCTATTTCTGACCAATATCATATGCGTGTTCTAATTGGCACCGAATTTTACATAACCAAATACAAGTTTTGTATATATGATGGAGATGGACCAACGGTATACCACCGTTCATTTAATAGAGGTGTAGTCAAATGTTTCTAAATTGATGGGTATGAGACATTTTCCCATTAATTCATGCCTCGTGTTATAAATATTGCATTGACTCTCTTTTTATTATTTCGGGTAGAACTGTAGGCTTGGTTACAAACGCAAATAATAAGTAATAAGCGGGCATTGGCGAGTGGCGACAAAAGTTAAATATGATTAAAGGAGTGAAATCGGAACCCAAATTTATTTTCCAGAGTACTTTATTGTGATTTTTATCCTTTGTGTCGCCTTTTATCCGTTTGTAAATTAGCGCTGGATAGGGTTATCTGGATAGTAGCAATTTACCATGCCATATATTCAATACTCTTTATATTGTATGGTAGACTTAACTAATAACACCCGTCGTACAAACTCTGAAACGACGCCGTTGCGTTTACTGAACCGGTCAAAAGCATATCATGATGTTAAGTTGTTTGCAAAGACCTTCCTGTTCCGGATATTTACAAAGCTCATTGAAGCATAACAACCGCTGTGTAATATGTTTGCCCGAAGGCCTTTTAGCTGCAATTGTCACTGTTATAGGAGGTTGAACGTCATTATGATACGGCTTTTTGAAAAAGAGAATCACGCCAAAACATATGCAGTTTATAGACCTGATTATCCCATTTCAGTCGCAGAAGAAATCATTAGTTATGTAAGCAGGAAAAGCGGGTTACAAAAAGGTGACAATATACCGGTAATGGTCGACATCGGATGTGGCACTGGGCAATCAACTAAACTTTTTCAACCTTACGTATCAAAAATTATAGGTATCGATCCAAGTGAAAATCAAATCGAGCAAGCAAAGATATGCAACTCTGCAGCAAACGTTACGTACTTGGTGGGGAAAGCTGAAAGCATTCCTGTTGACGACGAATCCGTGGACCTCGTCTGTGCTGGAATTTCAATTCACTGGGTTGATTTTGAATGTTTTTTCAAGGAATGCAGCAGAGTGCTGAAGCCTAGTGGTAGCATTGCTCTCTACGCGTATTGGAAACCGAATATTACTCGATTGGATAGGAGTCCGGATCCAAGTGCTGCTTCAATTTTGCTTAATCTCCGTTCCAAATGTATCTGGCATGAACGAAACAGTCATGTGGCCGACAAGTATAGCAGGATATTTGACATGATACCTTGTGAAGACAAAGCCAGGATTGATTGTCACAAAATCGAAAAAGAGTTAAGTCTGGAGGATTTTTCAAAATATGTTTCGACGTGGTCAAGCTATCACACATTTTTGAAAAATAAAGAGGATAGTCAGTCGGATATTTTAAAGGATTTCGGCAATGATTTGAAAAAACTTTGGGACGTGGAGCACTTGCGTGATGATGAAGTAAACTTATTCGTCACGTGGGATGTGTTCATACTTCTTTCAGGAAGACCTTAGAAGTAAACTTTTCATTCTTAATTTTTATTTTTCTGACCACCGAGTTTACATAACCAAATACAAAGTTTTTATAAATTGAGGGGTGTGAGATATTTTTCTGCTCTCAACGTTTCGAATTTGCCTAGTTACCATAAATTCGAACAATCATATCATATTCGTTCATCTTCATTAAATAAGGCGACAATATTTAAACAAATTTCAATATTTTTTATGACTATGACCTGAACACAGAGAAAAATTGAAATTTCGCCAAACTCTGACCTCATTGACAATTGGGCTGAAATCGAACGCTAGAATCGAATCGAACGAAGCAATTATCTATTGATAGTCATAACTACAATCGGAAAGTACGTCCACGTTTATTTTTCTGTAATGCGTAGAAACTTGATCAATTGAATTCGTATTTCGTCTTCGGTTTATCACGCCACCAATTCCAAATGAACAGAAAACTGGCAATTTTACATTGTGATACCGGATTCTGGACAGTCTAACCCTGATCGATTGTTACTGGTGGCGTAGGATTTGCGAAAGCAATTACATTCGATTCAGCACTAATTGGCAATTGCGGCCAAAAATTTAACTGTAACAAAATGACTGTTCCGGACGACGAAAATTCTGTGAAGAAATCTTCCTCATATAAATCTAATAAATAGCGTGTTCCATGATTGACAGCTTACTGGCAAGGCTATTTTGTCAGACTACCCCATGTAACAATGCTCTTCCTTAAGACATGGTGAAGAAACGCTTTAGGTGTGTAAATCCAACTCTTCGGATAGTCTATTCTCGCTGGAATCTAGAGGCTACGAGATATCACCAATAGCTGAATAGGAACAATGGAATTGTAAACACACACTATCCCATATGACTTAGTCCGTCAAATTCCAGTACAATTGCAGAAAAGAAACATTGAAAGCATGACATAAAATACAATAGTTTACATGTTTCAATAGATGAAAAACAGACCATGTAATGAAAATTGATACTGAATTGTCACGGTCTCAGACAAATAATCTACATCACACAACTGATAAGCCAAGCAGAAAATTTCCAAAATAAATAAATTTACGCTATATCACGCTAATTTTGATGTGACTGGCCTGCAATTTGCTAATTTCTTAGAGAGAGCATCCTATTCTGGGTTCAAAGTTGTAGTCCTATTAGTAACTAAAAGATAGTGCCAGTCTCTGGTACTATACCCTTGAGCATTTTTTAGCAACCCATTTACAACCATGATAATACACTGATGCACGAAAATAAAAAATAAATATTTGATAGCAAAAAAGAAATTCATACGCCATCACCACCCACAATCCATGGTTAACTTGTAAGTAGAAAAATCAACATATTAAAATTGTACATAATAAAGTTCTACAATTTCAAATCTATTTCAATATGTGATCGACTGGCTCTCTCTTTGGATATTTATCCCACCTCTTTAAAAAAAGGACTTTTAAATTTTCAGTGTAGCTTTTGAAGCTATATAACGGTGACTCAATTCTCTGCTTCCAAACTTTAGTCCGTATCGACTTTAAACTCAAAAATATATAGATACATAAGTTCTGCATACATTACCTCTGAAAAATTATTCGTGGGAAAGGAAATGAGTATTGGTTGGAATGCCCGATTCCACAACAACTGACTTTTTAGGCCTGTGAAAATAGGTTTAATATGCGATAAAACGTTTCCGACAGTACGGCATGGCTAGTTTCAAACTGTTCAATGATAATTATACTATATTTAGTTTTCTGGCACAAGACAAATGTTAATACTCGCCTATTCTTCTTCGCAGACTGACATTATACTGTTGGGTTTATTTCTTCCACGTGGTTACCTCATTACTTAAAGTTATTGCGGAAATTTTTTTGTTACGAATTTGATTTTATATGATTTTTTGCGTTCGCCGCTCACATAGAGTGGACTTCGTTTGCGAAACACGATTTTTTAACAGTTAAACCTGCAGAATATACGATTCACTGATGGCGTAACCCAAAGAAGTCGGGTTTTAAAATATTCTGTCCATCTTTCATGTGCCATGAGTTTACAGTAGGAAACTGAATTGGATTGAAGTTGCTTTTCTACAAACTTGCATAAGTTCTGGAATCAGAACAACTTGTCTCCATCACCTGAAATATTTTTCTCAAGAAAATACTCAACACACGGTTCAACATTTCTCCTGTCCGTATTTTGGTTCAGATGCATCAAGTCAAAGCATATAAATTCCTCAAACGGAGTTGTCCATTTTCGAAGTATTTTACGCAAGACTTGTGCGACAAAGCACATTCGAGTGGAGCATATCACATTCACGGCCATATCAACAAAAGATAACAAATGTTCATTTATAGGATTTTCATAAACACTTTGAAGATCTTTGTGCTTGATATTAACATTGCATACAACGGTGCCGTCCATTTTCAGAGTGGGAGCCCATTTCTATCCATTTATCTCTTTCTATCAGGTGTTAACAGTAGAGATCCCCAGCGGCCAACGGTGATTTGAAGTCAGGGACAACGTCTCACACTCACGCTTCTAGACAAAATACTTCTTTTTTCGAAATCCTCGAATATGCAGTAAATAGGGTGTTTAGATCCGATTTTAGCAAGACATCGCTTAAATTATAAATGTTTTCTGGTGGCAATGAATGATAATAATAGTAATAAGCGAAGAATTTTCTGTTGTTGTTTATCTTGAGGTTGTTGTGAAAATCGCCTTCCTCTGCAACTAAAAGACCAACCTCATTCTAGTTTTTAGCACTAAGGGATGGAAGAAGTCGTATAACAGCTATTATAATCATTACCCTCTCATTTTTTCAAATTCATTTCGAAGTCTAGTTTCTAGAGTCCGACAGGATTTTAGAATCTAAGGGCACATCTCAGAGATATTTAATACCACGGTGCATTTTATACAGACAACGATGAATGGAAAATTTGACTTTATTAACATAAACTTACGTCACGGAAAGATAACGTACACGTACATTTAAATGAATATGCATATGTTCAGAATTTCTTATCCAACTTTACTGGAATTTTATAGACTAATGTGACGTCATAGTGTAAATCTACTTTTTGCCTTGTATTCATTAATAAAAAAATTTTTTGCAAAATAATATTTTATTTTGCAGTTATTTTTTATTTGGCATAATTTTTATTCAAATATGGAACTGGAGCAAGTCAAAAGCAGTCGCTAATGCTGCTAATAGTAAAACCTATTGTATATATAAAAATATTTAGCCATGGAAGGAACGCATTATTCGGAATGAAAAAGTGAAAATCAAAAATTTAAATTTTTCTCAGCATCATCACCGACGTCTTCATTGTTTGGCTGGATTTCCATTGATACCAAAATATTCCCGCTGCTCCAGCCTTGGTTGATCGCATGGTTCTAAGATATTCTCCATTCAAATGTGAATTCTCGCAATCCACAAACCACCATCCACCTCTTAAATAATTCGCACAATGATCACTCCAAATATCCAAATCTTTGTCAGGAGCCGAAAATTGCATGTTGTTATGAATGTTCAGAGCATCTCTTGCCGTCCCCGAATATCCAGAAACAGTCAGTCTATAATTATCTTCTCTTCCACTTATTTTGAAAGTACTAGACAAGAAAAAAGATTAGGGCGTTAATTGTGATATCGACTTCGGTGTTCAGTCCATTTCAATTCTAAAGCAGAATTTTTCAAGTTATTTTCAATCTGTTTAAGTTTCTTCTGACTAAGTTCGTGTGTACTTTTTGAATAGTACTGAAAGTTAGTACAAAAAAAAATTGCATACTCCATATTTTATACAAACCTATATTTTGCATAAGCGACATTATTATTCCAGTCGGACAAATCAATCCTTAGTTCATAAGTTCCATCCTTGGTCAATTGATGAATCGTTTCAAGACCTGGATGAGAAAATGATTTGGATAACATAACCTCGGGTATTTCATGTCATTACGTTCAATTAACTTAACTTAACAATAAATTGACTGCCATTCAAAGTGACAGGTAAAATATCTCGGTTTCGATCTCAACTTGTGGCAATGCGATGCCTGCCTGAACCATTATTGGTATCATATTAAATTATTTATTTGGGGAAGTTTAACTTTACTGGATTATATGCAAAAAACAACCAGAAAATGTACATTTATATCTGTTATTACCAAGCCAATATTCTCCTGTTTTATGTCCGAATCCTTCAGCATATTCTTCCCACCCACGATCAAAACTTTCTGTGCCATCTACTCGACGTTGAAACACCTGATAAATTGTATATAGTTAAAAGGATGATTTTATGAATTTATCGAACCATTTCTTCCCATTAGCTTTTTAAATTACTGTCGCAAAAGGGTGAATGTTAAACTTCAACCATTCTTAGCTTAGCTAACTATCGCAAAAAAGTGATTGTTCTACAAAACTAAAGAAAGAAGAAATATTTCACCGTCCATTTTCCTCCATCTGTGGTAAGATCGCAATAAACTTTGTATTTATTATTGTTGCGATAAATATCAAAAACTCCTCCTCGGCCATCCCACAATTTTGCATCATCTTGCGACACCTTTTCACATTCCGAAATGCTCCTCCGGCGTTGCCGTTCTTAAGCCAAAGAGACAGCGGGAAATTTGTTTTGATATTTAAACGAGTAAAATAAGTTCCATAATATCTATTTCAATTTAAAATGGCAGCTGGGAAATGACAAATAACACTACGGGACATTTTGTCAGAAAACAGTGCTGCCTCATAACTACATAATTGTGTCTGAGTTCGCCTGTTTGAATCTCATGTGCAAAAATAATTGTAAATTGCTTTCATGTCATAATGGCCAGTTTTAGCATCATATTATTATATCCTGTCTGTAATATTTTGCACAAAACAATACACGTCTTGCAAGTAGAAAATTAATCAAAATCCCAAGAAATTAAATCAATAAAAATAGCTCGAACGGAATTGTTGAAACTAGTTAAGTAAAACATACAATACCTTTTGTTATTTCATCTGTAACATTTTTTATCTCGTCATATCTTTCTTCGTTTTCCATTTTTTCTTCTTCAAGTAACCGCTCCAATCTTTCAAGCTTCACGTTAATCCGATTTTCAGTTTCTAGAAAAAGATATCAATAATAAAACAGACCCGAAAACTTTTAAATTTAGATTACACCGATAAACTAGAATGATGTTACACAATATGGACGTTCAGGAATCTATAATATGAGATATATTTCCCATGTTTATAAATCGATAGTATGTTAGGAATTAGATTTCCCGTTACCATACCTAAAGGAAGAGTTGATTTTATTTTAAACTGTATGGCGTTTTAGGCAACAATTGATGGCAACTCATAAAATAAAACGCATAGTTTATGTGTTTTCAATTCGATTCGACGAAATATAGTTTTGTCGGAATGTTAAGCAATAATGAGTAGGATTAGTCTGCCAGCCTTAACTTCTATTCACATCGCTCAATAAATATATTTGTGTGATTTTGGAAAAGGCGAGGCTTCAATCAATGAAACTGTAAGAAACGTTGATTTGTAGCAAAGTCTCAATGGGACTACGGAGAGAACGCAAAATTAGATTCATATCACAGACATATACGTGCCTTCTATTTTCTTTTCGATACTCTCTTCTATAGCAGTGTAGTTTACGGTACCAGGATCTCCGGCACTTCCCTTTTCACCCTTTGGGCCGGCTTTTCCAATTCTAGGCTGCTGCATGGCATCATCAGATTGTCCAACAGCTTGTGATCCTGTTATTTGATTCATGCAGAACCGATTCATCGCGTAAATTTGAGAACAAAATCCATAAACAGAACCAGGATCTTGGCAATATGCAACGCCTAGCAAACCAAATAATATTAGGAATTTTAAGAAATACATTATATCCGATTTAAAGTCCTTATATAATAAAAAAAAATTGACTATGATTAGATACAAAAATGTGAAAAATAGTAACTAATTTATGGTATACTGCGTTATGGTTCCCATTGTTTCGTGCGTGAATGACTATGGGTTTTCTGCCTCCCTCTCCTTCTGTTAATGCTTACGTCGACGACTGTATCCTTTCTGTAATACATTTTCATTATCTATAAATATCGTCTATTCTCCGAGTTCACAATACACCAGGATCTACTTTTTTATGATTCTAATTCAATATAGAGAGTGTTTTCGCAAAGAAATTGTGCAATACCGTTTTGGAGCGCTAATTTCTTAGCACAATCTCTTTCGGCGTTTGTCGCTTGAAGGTGTGACGTCCCAACTTGCATCTCCACAATCGGTGGGCTCAGGGTCTTTATTGAGGCGTAGTTTATATTTATATGCAATAATTATGTGTCCCCCTTGTTTCATATTTAGTTAATATTGGTTCATTCTGCGATGTTGCACTATATTTTACCGTATTTCTATTTGACTGCTATTCTATAATAACAACTTTTTCCGTTCTAAATTATTCTCTCATTATTAACTCAACAATAAAGAACTTTCAAGAACTCAGTTTAAAGTGTGGTAAGTGAGTTATACGATAGAACCGCAACAAAAATTCAGTACTTTTCCAAACAGACATTTCAATTTCTGGCGACTTTTAGTTCGAAGTGCAAGCAACTCCCAAGCTTACAACTCTGTTCTACTCTCACACAAATTATTATATATATGTTTATGTGCTTGCGTTACTTACTGTCTTAATTAAGCAATTCAAATGAAAAAACCTCCGTATGTTTAGATTTCAAAAATATCAACAAAAAAAAAATCAGTTACGAATTTGTTTAGTGCTCAGTTTTTCCGAGCTCTATCGATTCTTGGAAATCTTGACATTGACGGCATGCAGGCCTATTCACATTTTCGATAGTTCCGAAAACAAAGTCGAGGACTATTCGAGTGACGCAGACAGACTACGTGGAGTCAGAAAATTTCATAAACAATGAAAACTAATTGGTGTGGGAAAGGAAATGAGTATTGGTTGGAATACCCCATTCTACACCAACTGATTTTTAAGTCCGTACAAATAAGAATTGTATGCGAAAAAATGTTTGCGACAGTACGGCATGGTTCGTTTCAAACTGTTCACTGATAATTATACTAGATTTTGTTTTCTGGCACAAGGGAAATGTCAATACCCGTCTATTCTTCTTCCCGGTCTGACATTATACTATTGGGCTTTTTTCTTCCCTGTGTTCACCACATTACTTAGAATTATCGCGGAAATTTTTTTGTTGCGAATTTGATTTTATATGATTTTTTGCTTTCGAAACACAATTAAACCTGCATAATAACATACGATATTTTATTACAATTCTCTGATGACGTAGTACAAAGAATTCGTCGACGCAATTTCGCACTAGGTTAAAGGTAATTATTGCGTTCTGTATTCTAATTTTAAACCGCATGCTAGTTCTTTTGATTGTTGCATTTAGCAAACGCTGCAGTGGCAAAGCAGCAATACCTGACGCAGGTTATCAAATCAAGTTTTTATTTATATTAATCATTTTTTGATTTATGACATTTCACCAGACGATTACAAGATTTCATCATATGTAATTCATTCATGTCAATAAATGTTTGCTCACGAATCTCCATTAATTGATGCCTCCTCCCCCCTCGTGTTATATTTATTGCCCTGACCCTAATTAGGCGACTTAGTCATACCAGACATTCACTCCAAACAAGTCTATGCGTGAGAATTCACCAATATGCGAGGGCCAACTTTATTTCTGGATGGAGCCTAACTTGCCCAATGTTCAACGTCCATGAACGTCCATTTTGTACCTGCGTGGAACAATTGGGTTTTATTTCCGAAAACGAAGTCGACTAAAACGACTACTATTCGAGTGACGCAGACAGACTACGTGGAGTCAAAAAATTTCATTATTTGTGTGGGAAAGGAAATGAGTATTGGTTGGATGTACTTCTTCAACTGACTTTTTGGGCCCGTAGAAATAAAAAAGATATGCGAAAAAATGTTTGCGTCAGTACGGCATGGTTCGTTTCAAACTGTTCACTGATAATTATACCAAAATTAGTTTTCTGGAACAAGACGAATGTTACTACTCGCCTATTCTCAAATATAGTAGTTTGAAGTTATACTGTTGGGTTTATTCCTTCCCTGCGTTTGCCTCCATAACTCAAAGGTTTTTGTTGCTGATTTGATTTTATATGATTTTTTAAGATTTTTGGCGTTTACCGCTTACATAGAGTGGACTTTGTTTGCGAAACACGAATTTTATAAGTCAAGCCTGTAAAGTACCATTATTATGATACATTAGTAGAGTCCACTGATGACGTAGTAGAAACAACTCGTCGGCGTAATAGACTCGTGATATCGGAAAAATGATATATATTTACATTACTATGGGGGGCATCAGAGATCGAGTCTATCTTGATCTTGATTCGTCAAGTTTACTGTAATTTCTGATAATGCAACGATATTATTTGAAAATATTGGTATGTATTCAAACCACCACAACGTTTGCCGCTTAATAGAATTGCCTTTGACCTAATGCAAAATACGCAAACGAGTTCTCAGTTCGAGGCCATCAACGGGACATACTAATTTGCGTTCGATTTCGGCAGGGTTGACTTTTTAAAGTTTCTGTCTCGCAAACGAAGTCCACTTTCTGCAAGCGGTAAACGCCAGAATTATATAGAAATCAAATTTACCTCAAAAATGTTCGCGTGATAACCCACCTTTAAAGAAGACCTCTAATTTGCAGCGAATATTTGAGTCTTAAAAGGATGTCTAAAATAATGTTTCCCCACGAATCTCTATTAGTTTATCACTGGCCTTTAAAGGTTGGCATTGATATTCCAGGGATTTCACACCACTTAGGCTTTTGAATGGGTATATACACCGATATGCTGGGGCCAATTTTATTTCTGAATGAGCTCAAACGTATCTCTTATCTTTAATTTTATTCAGCTTTTTATCTTTTATGTCGCCTTTTATCCGTTTGTAAAGCAGCCCTGTGGTGTGGCAAGATAGTGATAGTGGCAATTCACCATGTCATATATTCAATACGGTGACCGTACATTTGAACCCATGTGTATATCCGCTCGTTCAATCTATATGCGGGTGCTAAAACTCACGGGTTAGGGTTAGTATGGGTTCAAATATCCGTAAAACAAAAAAATTCTCATAGGTGCAATAGTATGCAGGTGCAATTGTTGTGGGTTCAAATGTACGTGGGTTCAAATGTAATGGAACTATTCAATACTCCTTATATTGTATGCTAGACCAGTGATTCCCAAAGTGGGCGATATCGCCCCCCAGTGGGCGAAAACGATACAGAGGGGGGCGAAAAAGTCCAAGGGGGTGATAGGGGGGCGATTTCGCGAAACCTGTTTTATGTTCGGCGCACTTAATTCTGTACTCTGTGTGCATTCGCAGGTTTGAATCATGTGGGAGATTATCACACGCGAAAGGATTGCTGGACTCGTCTTCGCAGTAAGGTACGGTAGTTTGCGTATCCCAGTGGTCGGCAAAATACGGCCGGAGTAAAATAATCTGGCCCGGGACGATTCACTGAATGGATCTTCCCCCGACCTTTGACCGCGGAAAATTCTTCCCATACTTTACCACTTAAAAATTTTCGGTGCTTATTTTAAGAATGGTTTCGCGAGTTGTTGCCTGTAAAATGGGGTGTTTCAAACTATCATTCTAATACACACCATTCAACAATCTGATTTTTAAAAGTACCGATAAAGAATTTTAGCCTAGTCTATCACAGCTATTTCTACAATCTACACTATTTTGTGATTGCTGTATTTAAACTGAAACTCATAGGAAGACAAAGTAATCATTGACTTATTTGATTTAAATTTTCGAAAAATAACTAATAACTAACGAATATGATTTAAAAACGCGAAAATGAGGTAATGTTCACGACCACGCCTGAAAATCTGTCTGAGTGAGCGTGTCTGAGAGCCTGAGCGGATGCGAAAGGGGGCATTGTTACGTTTTTTACATCTTGCTGATTGGCCAATGTCACGAAGTAAACAAGGAAGTCTATGCCCGGGGAAACATCCAAACGGCGGTTTTGACGATGAATTTTTTTTATTTATAATCTACACTCCAGGAGTAAATTACATTTTTTTACGTATCAGAATTTATCGTGAGACACGTTTGGACTAAATTTTATTATATCCTAAAAATTCCATTGTACAGCTAGCTACTCGTTTGACGAGCCTACAATTTAATTACAATTAGACAAATGGAAACACGAAGAAAAGTTGATGCTGATGGCAGGGGTTCAATAGCGCAGTCAATATTCGAATATATTGCAAAGCAATAAGAAAATGAAATTCATATTCTATTCGAGAGATTAATCACTGCTTAATTTTTGTAAGAATGTATCTTCTTAAAGAAAAGCTTTATCAAAATTTCACAAATCATGCGAAAATATTCACTTCGATGTTTGGAAGTACATATTTGTGCGAACAATTATTTTTAAAAATGAACATTACAAAGAACAAGCAAAGAACTGTGATGGATTAGTGATGCCCATTTAGAAAATGTTTCAATCTTGGCGTCGTAAAGCTATCCAGCGTGATGCAGCAACAAGACAGTGTCACATTAAATGTCATTGTAATATTTTTTTAATAAGACGACTAAGTTGAGTTCACGAATTGTCGCAGTTTTCGCGCGCTGTTCCGTTTTTGACTTTCAAAAAATATATGCGACCCGCAATAGACTAGCAACCCTGAATTTTGTCCTGCGAGCGACATAAAATTTGCCGACCCCTGGGCCATAGCCGATAGTCGGTCACGGCTTCTTCCACATCCGAGCCATGAATCCAAAAACAAATGGCTGGTTAATTATGGACCGGTGATCAGACTGGAGGCCGTAGTAGAATGAGGAATCGGGGATGAATTTTACCGAAGGTGCAGGTCATCAAGCAGTACGAATGAATGAGATGTACGAAAATCATTATTATAAGTTTGGGAAAATTAACTTTGTTTTCATTATTCCAATGTGAAATGGGGTGAATTTAGGAAGTGAAATGCTATAAGGCAAGAGTACACGGCGGTTTTTGAGGAGGTAGAACCCTGGATTCTTTCATTTCCGACCTATTATATGGTGAAAAAGGGGTTTCAGTCGTGTTACTATTGCTATCAAAACAACGAAATCGCCTTTCCATCAGTAAACGGGGTAATTTTAGATATAATAAAAAACTCGCTGACGAACACCAAGCTCATCTATCTCATAAAACACTATAAACTATAATTTGTCTTCTTATTTGGTCTGTAATATATTCGTTTCTGACTTTACATTTTTTTGTATTGCCGGGGGGCGATGAAGTTGTATAAACTACTTTAGGGGGGCGATGGTCAAAAAAGTTTGGGAACCACTGTGCTAGACTAAGGCGATTAACATTCGTTTTACTGACTTTTAAACGACGCCGTTGCGTTTAACGAACGTATCAAAAGCATGATATTAAGTTGTTTGCAATCATCTTCATGTTCTGAATATTTACAAAGCTCATTGAAGCATAACAAATGCTGTGTAATATGTTTGCCGTTTTAGTTGCGATTGCCACTGTTATAGCAAGTTGAACGTCATTATGATAAGGCTTTTCGAGAAAGAGAATCACGCCAAAACATATGCAGTTTATAGACCTGATTATCCCATTTCAGTCGCAGACGAAATCATTAGTTATGTAAGCAGGAAAAGCGGGTTACAAAAAGGTGATAATATACCGGTAATGGTCGACATTGGATGTGGCACCGGGCAATCAACTAAACTTTTTCAACCATACGTATCAAAAATTATAGGTATCGATCCAAGTGAAAATCAAATCGAGCAAGCAAAGATATGCAACTTTGCAACAAACGTTACGTACATGGTGGGAAAAGCTGAAAGCATTCCTGTTGAAGACAAATCCGTGGACATTGTTTGTGCTGGAACTTCAATACACTGGGTTGATTTTGAATGTTTTTTCAAGGAATGCAGCAGAGTGCTGAAGCCCAGTGGTAGCATAGCTCTCTACGCGTGTGGGAAACCAAATATCACCCAGTTGGATAGGAGTCCGGATCCAAGTGCTGCTTCAATTTTGTTCAATCTCCATTCCAAATGTATCTGGCATGAACGAACCAGTCATGTGGGCGACAAGTACAGTAGAATATTTGACATGATATCTGCTGAGGATAAAACTAGGTCTGATTGTCACAAAATCGAAAAAGAGTTAAGTCTGGAGGAATTTTCAAAATATGTTTCGACGTGGTCAAGCTATCACACGTTTTTGAAAAATAAAAATGATACTCAGTCTGATATTTTAAAAGATTTCGGCAATGATTTGAAAAAACTTTGGCATGTGGAGCAATTACGTGATGATGAAGTGAAATTATTCGTCTCGTGGGATGTGTTCATACTTCTTTCAGGAAGACCTTAGAAGTGAACTTTTCATTCCTAAATATCATATTTCTGACCAATATCATATGCGTGTTCTAATTGGCACCGAATTTTACATAACCAAATACAAGTTTTGTATATATGATGGAGATGGACCAACGGTATACCACCGTTCATTTAATAGAGGTGTAGTCAAATGTTTCTAAATTGATGGGTATGAGACATTTTCCCATTAATTCATGCCTCGTGTTATAAATATTGCATTGACTCTCTTTTTATTATTTCGGGTAGAACTGTAGGCTTGGTTACAAACGCAAACAATAAGTAATAAGCGGGCATCGGCGAGTGGCGACAAAAGTTAAATATGATTAAAGGAGTGAAATCGGAACCCAAATTTAATTTCCAGAGTACTTTATTGTGATTTTTATCCTTTGTGTCGCCTTTTATCCGTTTGTAAATTAGCGCTGGATAGGGTTATCTGGATAGTAGCAATTTACCATGCCATATATTCAATACTCTTTATATTGTATGGTAGACTTAACTAATAACACCCGTCGTACAAACTCTGAAACGACGCCGTTGCGTTTACTGAACCGGTCAAAAGCATATCACGATGTTAAGTTGTTCGCAAAGACCTTCCTGTTCCGGATTAGGCTTGCACGTAATTTACGGATTTACGGAATTACGTAATTATTTGGAGTTACGGAAGGGAAGTTACGAATTACGTAAAGTCGTAATTATTGCATTGAAACGAGCTTTCTTCAAAGCAGTCAATTTCGTCGATTGCGAAAAATGAAAGCTCAACAAGTAGAAGAGAGTTCCGGTATTCGCAGCCGTTTTTCTCTCTCTTGTTACGTAGGTGAAGGAAGGCGTGACGCGTTGCCATTTACTAACCTATTATCAACTTATCTGGCATGGCCAATGTAAATTATTAACGTAGTTAAGGGGGAAGAACTGAGTAGGGCCGTTTGACGCCAACATACCTGGTTTTAACTTCTCCCGCAACTTAACCGTAGATAAAGGATAGAATTGCGTTGAGACTGATTGACGCCAACACACCTGATTTCAACTTCTCTCGCATCTTATCTAGCATGGCCATGGCCAATGTACATAATAACCGTAGATAGGGGGAAGAATTGTGTTAAGACCAATGGACGCTAACACGCCTGGTTTCAACTTCTTCGGGTGAAGTGACTAATGAACGCAGGAGATCAATCTATCAAACATGGTCTATCAAACATTTGTATCCATTTTACTTTTATTTATTATTTACTTGTTCCAGTTTTCCGTTACTTATGGTATATATGTTCCGTTTCTATGTTATAGTCACGCGTTTAAATAGTGGGAATTCCCCACCAAGTGTGGATTAGCAATGCTTAACCATTCTTTATTGTTAATATCAACACTTGATATATGAACATGGAATATCATACTGTTTTTGGCTGTTTTATTTCAGACTTGGGGTATAAACAGGAAAATATCCATAACCTTTCAACACGACGAACTTGTGAAATTTAACGAAGAGCTTTCGCGACGAATTGGAACCAAATAAGCGAAAAGAGCGATTGATCACTCACTGATCGCGCCAATTCCTCGCCGTGATAATTAATGTCGTGCTTATCAAATAGCAATATGACGACAAAAGAGAGATTGCGAAATGAACCAACGTCGACTTGAATACCACCGGCACTCGACCAAATTTGTGTCAATCTTGGCCGATAGGATCGCCGACTTGAGTTAGCAAATAAATGTCGTGAGTGTAAAATAAATGTCACAAATGCATTGTTTTGCGATATAACTTTGTATTTTCGGAGAAGGCATATCATGTAAGTTCGGTATTTAAATTATACGCAAATAAATAATATTTGATCTAAATTTATCGCAAATAATGTTATAAACATTCAGTCCGCGAAATGATTAAATGTAAAATGAAGCATTGTAATCGGAATATCGTCAATAAGTCGACATCAATAATTATTATTATAAAATGCTAACAAGGCAGTAATGTCGGATAATGCAGAAGACGCTGCAAAAACAAGTCTTCGTCGCGAGGAAATCGCAAGTATAATCAAACGAGAGAATACGCTCGTCGTTGGTTAATAAATTAGAAACCCGTAATTTTTATTCAGTACTAAGGTGGTTTTAAAAAACTATCGTTTTCATAAATATCCGTATATCAGTGTCGGTAATGATAAAATAAAATTGATCGCATAAAAATGGGACGGTTAATTTACGAAGGTGATAAAGGAAAACCAAAGCTAACACAAAAGATAAAAATCAGAATAAAATTAATTTGAATTCACCCCTTGATATTTGTATTTAACATTTGCCGCCGGCGTGTAGTACTGCCAAGAATATGAAAACCCAATTTCAATGTCCCATTCGGAAAAGATGTGGATTCAATTGGTTGTTATGATAGGTTTAAATGCGTGGAAAAATATCGCAATTACGGGGTCATTACGTAATTGATTTTGCCGTAATTACGGAATTGATTTTTGTCAATTACGTGCAAGCCTATTCCGGATATTTACAAAGCTCATTGAAGCATAACAACCGCTGTGTAATCTGTTTGCCCGAAGGCCTTTTATCTGCAATTGTCACTGTTATAGGAGGTTGAACGTCATTATGATACGGCTTTTCGAAAAAGAGAATCACGCCAAAACATATGCAGTTTATAGACCTGATTATCCCATTTCAGTCGCAGAAGAAATCATTAGTTATGTAAGCAGGAAAAGCGGGTTACAAAAAGGTGACAATATACCGGTAATGGTCGACATTGGATGTGGCACCGGGCAATCAACTAAACTTTTTCAACCTTACGTATCAAAAATTATAGGTATCGATCCAAGTGAAAATCAAATCGAGCAAGCAAAGATATGCAACTTTGCAGCAAACGTTACGTACTTGGTGGGGAAAGCTGAAAGCATTCCTGTTGACGACGAATCCGTGGACCTCGTCTGTGCTGGAATTTCAATTCACTGGGTTGATTTTGAATGTTTTTTTCAAGGAATGCAGCAGAGTGCTGAAGCCTAGTGGTAGCATTGCTCTCTACGCGTATTGGAAACCGAATATTACTCAATTGGATAGGAGTCCGGACCCAAGAGCTGCTTCAATTTTGTTTAATCTCCGTTCCAAATGTATCTGGCATGAACGAAATAGTCATGTGGCCGACAAGTATAGCAGAATATTTGACATGATCCTTGTGAAGACAAAGCCAGGATTGATTGTCACAAAATCGAAAAAGAGTTTAGTCTGGAGGATTTTTCAAAATATGTTTCGACGTGGTCAAGCTATCACACATTTTTGAAAAATAAAGAGGATAGTCAGTCGGATATTTTAAAGGATTTCGGCAATGATTTGAAAAAACATTGGGACGTGGAGCACTTGCGTGATGATGAAGTAAACTTATTCGTCACGTGGGATGTGTTCATACTTCTTTAAGGCAGACCTTAGAAGTGAACATTTCATTCTTAACTATCATATTTCTGATCACCGAATTTACATAACCAAATACCAAGTTTTTATAAATTAAGGGATGTGAGATATTTTTCTGCTTTCAGCGTTTCGAATTTGCCTAGTTACCATAAATGTGTTGTATATTCGAATAAATCACATTATATTCGTTCATCTTCATCAAATAAGGCGACAATATGTAAACAAATTTCAATATCTTTTATGACTATGGCCTGAAAACAGAAAAAAATTGAAATTTCGCCAAACTCTGACCTCATTGGCTAAAATGGAACGTTTAGCGAAGCAATGATCCATTGATAGTCATAACTACAATCGGTATCAAGAAAGTACGTTCACGTTTTTTTCTGTAATGAGTAGAGACTTGATCAATTAAATGCGTATTTCGTCTTCGGTTTATCACGCCACCAATTTCAAATGAACAGAAAACTGGCAATTTTACATTGTGATACCGGATTCTGGACAGTCTAACCCCGATCGATTGTTACTGGTGGCGTAGGATTTGCAAAAGCAATTACGTTCGATTCAGCACTAATTGGCAATTGCGGCCCAAAATTTAACTGTAGCAAAATGACTGTTCCGGACGACGAAAATTCTGTGAAGAAATCTCCCTCGTATAAATCTAATAAATAGCGTGTTCCATGATTAACAGCTTACTGGCAAGGCTATTTTGTCAGACTACCCCATGTAAAGATGATCATCCTTACGACATGGTGAAGAAACGCGTTAGGTGTGTAAAACCAACTCTTTGGACAGCCTATTCTTGCTGGAATCTAGAGGCTTCGAGATATCCCCAATAGCTGAATAGGAACAATGGAACGGTAAACACACACAATCCCATATGACTTAGTCCGTCAAATTCCAGTACAATTGCAGATAAGAAACACTAAAAGCATGACATAAAATACAATAGTTTACATGTTTCAATGGATGAAAAGCAGACCATGTAATGAAGATTGGTGCTAAATTGTCACGGTCTCAGACAAATAATCTACATCACACAACTGATAAGCCAAGCAGAAAATTTACAAAATAAATACATTTACGTTATATCACGCTAATTTTGATGTGACTGGCATGCAATTTGCTAATTTCTCAGAGAGAGCATCCTATTCTAGGTTCAAAGTTGTAGTCCTATTAGTAACTAAGAGATAGTGCCAGTCTCTAATACTATAGCCTTGAGCATTTTTCAACAACCCATTTACAACCATGATATAAAACGCTGCTGCACAAAAATAATAAATACAAATTTGATAGCAAAAAAGAAATTCATACGCCATCACCACCCACAATCCACGGCTAACTTGTAAGTAGAAAAATCAACATATTAAAACTGTACATATAAAGTTCTGCAATTTCAAATCTATTTCAATATGTGATCGACTGGCTATCCTTTTGATTATTTATCCCACCTCTTTGAAAAAAGGACTTCTAAATTTTCAGTGTAGCTTTTGATGCTAAATAACGGTGACTCAATTCTCTGCTTCCAAACTTTAGCCTGTATCGACTTTAAACTAAAAAAATATAGATACATAAGTTCTGCATACATTACCTCTGAAAAATTATTCGTGGGAAAGGAAATGAGAATTGGTTGAACTGACTTTTTAGGCCCGTAAAAATAGGAATAATATGCGAAAACATGTTTCCGACAGTACGGCATGACTAGATTCAAACTGTTCACTGATATTCTGATAATTATACTGAATTTAGTTTTCTGGCATAAGACCAATGTTAATACTCGCCTATTCTTCTTTGCAGTTTGACATTATACTGTTGGGTTTATTTCTTCCTCGTGGTTACCTCATTACTTGAAGTTATCGCGTAAATTTTTTTGTTGCGAACTTGATTTTATATGATTTTTTGCGTTCGCCGCTCACATAAAGTGGACATCGTTTGCGGGACACGATTTTTTAACAGTTAAACCTGCAGAATATGATACGATACCTTATTACGATTCACTGATGACGTAACCCAAAGAACTCGTCGACGTAATTTTGCATTAGGTTAAAGGTATAATTATGACGTTCTGTGTTCTTATTCTAAACCACATGCTAGTTCTATTGGTTGTTGCATTTAGCAAACGCTGCAGTGGCAAAGCAACAATACCTGACGCAGTTTATCAAATCAAGTTTTTATTTATTTCAATCATTTTCTGGTTTGTGACATTTCACCAGTCGATTACAAGTTTTCATCATATGTAATTCATTCATGTCAATAATGTTTGCTCGTGATTCTCCATTAATTGATGCCTCGTGTTATATATTGTCTTGACCTTAATTGGGCGACTTATTCATATCAGGCATTCACTCCAAACAAGCCTATGTGTGAGAATCCACCAATATGCAAGGGCCAACTTTATTTCTGGATGAAGCCTAACTAACTTGCTTAATGTTTAACGTTATTTAAATAAAACATTTACAGAACACTTAATTTATTTGCCATCAGAACATGACTATTGGGCAATTCCTTCAATCTTCGTAACATGACTATTGGGCAATTCCTTCAATCTTCGTCGACGTTGCCGGGTTATCGTAATATCGTAAAGTTGGCCGCAAGAAATTAAGTTAAAATTGTTTACTGAAATGAGTATACAGTACTAGCAACAGAGTCAAATAAAAAGTTTTCGCGTTGTTTTGACCATTGTGACTTCATTAAAAATTAATTGCGTTGGCGTTATGCGGAATAACGCTGGAGTAATATTGTGAGGTCTTTATCAGTTTGCTGTAAAAGTCGCTGCTTTTGCGGGTTTTAAAATATTCTGTCCATCTTTCATGTGCCATGAGTTTACAGTAGGAAACTGAATTGGATTGATGTTGCTTTTCTACAAACCTGCATAAGTTCTGGAATTAATAGAACAACTTGCCTTCATCACCTGAAATATTTTTCTCAAGAAAATACTCAACACACGGTTCAACATTTCTCCTGTCCGTGTTTTGGATCAGATGCATCAAGTCAAAGCATTTGAATTCTTTAAACGAAGTTGTCCATTTTCGAGGTATTTTACGCAAGACTTGTGCGACAAAGCACATTCGAGTGGAGCATATCACATTCACGGCCATATCAACAAAAGATAACAAATGTTCATTTATAGGATTTTCATAAACACTTTGAAGATCTTTGCGCTTGATATTAACATTGCAAACAACGGTGCCGTCCATTTCCTATCCATTTATCTCTTTCTATCAGGTGTTAACAGTAGAGATCCCCAGCGGCCAACGGTGATTTGAAGTCAGAGACAACGTCTCACACTCACGCTTCTAGACAAAATACTTCTTTTTTCGAAATCCTCGAATACGCAGTAAATAGGGTGTTTAGATCCGATTTTAGCAAGACATCGCTTAAATTATAAATGTTTTCTGGTGGCAATGAATGATAACAATAGTAATAAGCGAAGAATTTTCTGTTGTTGTTTATCTTGAGGTTGTTGTGAAAATCGCCTTCCTCTGCAACTAAAAGACCAACCTCATTTTAGTTTTTAGCACTAAGGGATGGAAGAAGTCGTATAACAGCTATTATAATCATTAATCTCTCATTTTTTCAAATTCATTTCGAAGTCTAGTTTCTAGAGTCCGACAGGATTTTAGAATCTAAGGGCACATCTCAGAGATATTTAATACCACGGTGCATTTTATACAGACAACGATGAATGAAAAATTTGACTTTATTAACATAAACTTACGTCACGGAAAGATAACGTACACGTACATTTAAATGAATATGCATATGTTCAGAATTTCTTATCCAACTTTACTGGAATTTTATAGACTAATGTGACGTCATAGTGTAAATCTACTTTTTGCCTTGTATTCATTATTAAAAAATTTTTTTGCAAAATAATATTTTATTTTGCAGTTATTTTTTATTTGGCATAATTTTTATTCAAATATGGAACTGGAGCAAGTCAAAAGCAGTCGCTAATGCTGCTAATAGTAAAACCTATTGTATATATAAAAATATTTAGCCATGGAAGGAACGCATTATTCGGAATGAAAAAGTGAAAATCAAAAATTTAAATTTTTCTCAGCATCATCACCGACGTCTTCATTGTTTGGCTGGATTTCCATTGATACCAAAATATTCCCGCTGCATCAGCCTTGGTTGATCGCATGGTTCTAAGATATTCTCCATTCAAATGTGAATGCTCGCAAGTATGAAACCACCATCCACCTCTTAAATATTTCGCACAATGGTCACTCCAAATATCCAAATCTTTGTCAGGAGCCGAAAATTGCATGTTGTTATGAATGTTCAGAGCATCTCCTGCCGTCCCCAAATATCCAGAAACAGTCAGTCTATAATTATCTTCTCTTCCACCTATTTTGAAAGTACTAGACAAGAAAAAAGATTAGGGCGTTAATTGTGATATTGACTTCGGTGTTCAGTCCATTTCAATTCTAAAGCAGAATTTTTCAAGTTATTTTTAATCTGTTTGAGTTTCTTTTGACTAAGTTCGTGTGTACTTTTTGAATAGTACTAAAAGTTAGTACAAAAAAAAATTGCATACTCCATATTTTATACAAACCTATATTTTGCATGAGCGACATTATTATTCCAGTCGGACA